TTTTTATAAACCGATTATTAATGGAAACAACAAAACCAACCGAAATGAGGTTATAATCATATTAACTCAACATGTTAATTACTCTTCTTGTGTTGATATGGAAGTATGATAAGTGTAGTCAAATTAACTTTTTCCCCACTTAAACTTGGGACAAATTAAAATCTTATTGCTAGACAAATCACATAACTGCAATGTCTTTATTTCTTCATATATATATAACAAGAAAAACCCCAATAAAACAAACACTCACTCTTACATTAACTCTGTTTCTGAAAAAGACCCATCAAAATATTTTGGGACTTGCATTTCTTTTCTCTCTGTTTCTTCCTTTCAACAACGCCAACTGTTCTGTTGTTGCCGCTTAGCTTCGAATGCAGCACCATCGTTAAGCATATCATTAGCATCAGTCTCCATTCCAAGCTTCGAAAGCGCTAAAGCCTGCAAGTAAAACGCAGTAGGCCACTCTGGTATACACACTTGAGCTTGCATTGCGTCTCTCAGCGCAAGTTCTTGTTGATCCGTCATCAAGTACGAGAAAGCCCGTCTTGCGAAAACCGTAGCAGATGGAACAGACATCATAACCACCAACTTGGTAACAAACAAACAAAATCATCATCGTTTAGAATCATGGGTTTTGTTTGATGTTTTTATACGGTTTAATGGTTTTTTTTTTTACCTTTGAATAGCATTCAATCGCGTTCTTGAAATCTTTGTCTCTGAAAGCAATGTCTCCGAACTTCTTAGTGTTGAGCATTTCTTGAACTTGTTGTGTCCATTCTTGAAATGAAAGCTGTCGAGAGACAAATGTCAGCAATTGAAAAAACCAATAGAAGAACTTTGGTTAAAGGTTTGTCCTCAAGTACCTCGTTCTCTGCTCCTTCCTCGTCTCTGTAACCGGTTTTAAGCAAAATCTCGTGTACAGCCGCGAGATCCATACGTGAACAAGCCTTTCCGAGAGGAGAAAGCAGAGTTGGTAGTATAACTGTATTCTTAGGCAAACCCATCAACACATGAGATGCAATCTAAACACAAAACCAAAACAAAAAATTAGTAATTTGCTATGGAAAAAGAAATTGAGTACTATTATTTGATTCGTGTTCTTGAAACCTCTTTCTGCTTTTGTAGTGGTGCCACTGAAGAGAGAAGAAATTTAGTATCAGGTCGGTCTTTTGCCTCGGATTGAAGACATTTTGAAGCAAGATCAACAAGTTTAGTCGCGTCTCCATTCTCATATTGCCCTTCAAGTGATGAATCCATAAGTAGCAACGCGTTTTTCCCTCTTATTATATCAAGAGCCTGAATATGAACACACCATAACTCATTTCAGATGCTCAGGCGAAAAAAGCGTGAAATGAAACTAGAAATTTGCAGGACACATTACATGACTCGGTGGAATGTGTTTGCCGCTTAAAAGATCTAACAGAATAGTTCCATAACTGTAAATCACACTTTCAGGAATGACTCTACCTACAAAGGAAGAAGAAACTCTTTAGATTTCAAAAAAAAAAATCAGAAACAATTCAATGTTCTTGAAGTAATTTTGTTCACCTGTTCTTAAAAACTCAGGTGGAGTATAAGCTAAGTTGGTACTATAGCTTTTTCCATCTCTACTATTCTTCATAAGACCAAAAGTTGATAGACGAGGATCGCCTTCTTCATCAAAGAGGATTCTGTATGCATTTAAATCATGATAGATCTTTTGGTTTTCGTGTTTACAGTGATCAAGTGCTTGTGCGATAAAATCCGCAACTCGAACACGCATTTCCCATGGTAGTGGCTGTTTTTCCCCTACACAAAACGAGCCCCCAAAACACACAAAAAGAGAGCATCAAGTCTATAAAGAAAATATCAAAATGAAAGTAGGTAAAGATCAAAGGAGCATTTTACAGTGAAAAAGATGCTTCGAGAGAGTGTCATTAGGCATATACTCAGCTACCAACAATCTCTCGTCTCCTTCAGCGCAACAACCAATCAGATTAACCAATCTGTTAAATCGAAGCTTTCCAACACCAGTCGCCTCCGCCTAATTCACAAGTCATACATTAGTCAACAACACCATACAAAGTATTCCAATTCAGAGTCTCTCTAGTTCCTTAATTGGTTTCAGACAAAAGAACACACATAAGAAAGTTACAAAGCATAATTTCTTTAAAGACTATACCTTTACTAACCTATCTTCAATAATAAAGCTAAAAGAGAGGATCTAATAAAACAATAGTCTATAAAATATAGTCAGAAATCAGAATCCTGGGATAAAGTAGCTTTTGCAACCTAAAGTTACCTACTTTTTTTTTCATTTCAATAGCTACCAGACAGAGATTAGCATATTCTCTGGTCAAATTTAACACTAACTTAATAAAACTCCTTTTGACTGGTCACACTAATGAGCAATGAAATCAATGAAACATATAATATAAATATCTCAATTTTGAATTTGGACCTTGTTTTTTTAAGATTCTTACCACAAACTGTTGAGCATCAGGCCAAGACTGTTTAGAGAATCGTTTAATGGCGACAAGACGATTGCCTTCGAGATTTCCTCTGTAAACAACATTAGGAGCTTTCTCTCCACCTTCAGAGACAATACAACTTGGACTAAACCCATTTGTTACTTTCTTCAATTCACTTAACTCAAACTCTTTGAAACATGGAACTTGATGCTCCTGATCCACTTGGTCCTCATTTACTACAACAAAGGAAACAATTTACATAACAAAATCACTAGAGACAGCAAAACAAAAGTCATTAAGTTGAGATTGATTGAAGTTTAGTCCTAAAAAGGTATAAACTTTACCACTTTTTTCTTGCTTTAAACCTAAACCCATAACCATTAAAAGCAAACCCCATCAAGGAATTAGACAGTGATTGGTATAAAACAAACTAAATCTACACATTTACTAAACAAGCAAACATACCCATCAAATCAAAAGGAGAATAAAAAGGAAACAAAACCTGATTCTGGTTTGTTTGGAAGTGATGGATCATCAGGAGAAGGAAGATGAGTAGTTTTGGAATGCAAACAGCCCATTTTCACATCAAAAGAAACCAACTTTTTTATAAGATTTTTCCTAAGAAATATCAGAAATTTGTAAGCAGTGAAGTTGAGCAAAAGGAGAATTTGAGAGAAGATTTGTGTCTCTCTCTCTCCCTC